CAGTGTAAGTCATTATAATCCGTAATTATGTCTCCACTGGATGCAACAAATGCCTCGTTTATAATGGGTTTTAATGTTTATGTCTCGTCGCTCCGGCCGGACACGGCATCAACAGTATGTGAGGGGCGTAACATTTCCGTCACACGCTTGAGGTATTCGGCCAATCACAACGCACTGGATAGCTGGCCAATCAGCGTACACCTTGCTTTTCAGAACGATGAGCTTTGTAAAAATCGACGTGTTTCAGAAAGGCGGGGCATAGAGGAAAAACAATAATGTACAGTATGTGGAAAATAATGTTTTTTGAACCTTAAACCGCATAAACACATTGCATTACACCAAATACACAAAATAATGTTATTTTTAGCAACGTCATATGACCCCTTTAAATATAGATCACTGCAGAAATATCCAGTACAAATAAAAAGGTTTTCTGATATTATCAACAAGCAGGATGTGTGACTTATCTCACCATGTTTAGCGAGAGGTTCTGTCTTGGGCTTGGCTTCTTCTTCCTCTGGCTTTAATGGAGCATTTTGTTCCATGTGGTTTGAGGCAGCTAAAAAGAGGAAGGAAATTGAAAAACATGATCATTTTTGTTGTCCTCTTGTTATAGAGAAGTCTTTCTCTGTCAGGCAGCACTATTAGTACTATTAACACGTTTCCTGTCTGTCTGTTTTTCCAGGTTTAGTACTTCTAGGGTGACCATACATCCTCTTTTCCCCAGGCATGTCCAGGCCAGAATTTCTAACCTTCCTAAAATGTCCGGGTTTAGGCTTTGTTTTCCTATTGTTTTCATACCTGTTGAAGGTAATGACTGAAAAGTAGTTCGCGTGCAGGCATTGTGCATTATTGACCAGTCATGGCATGCGAGAAGGTGGGACCTGTAGAGAACGGTCAAAGCAATGCAAATATGCATACATATAATGTAGGAGGACTATAGAGAACACATTAATAGGAAAACAAAGACATTTTAACATTTTAGGCATTTTAGAACTTACATTTATGTATTCTACATTTGTTTTTAAACTTATGGAAAGTAGTGAAGTGGTTTTTGTGGCTATATTTATGTCTGTTTCATTTTAGTTGCTCTTTTAGGACATTTCACCTAAAAAAAATGGGGTAGAAACAAATTTCACTGAGAAATTGCTAGTAAATTTCACAAACAATTACGAGGAAACGACAAGTAACACATTGAATTAAATGTGAAACTTTAAAGAAAAACTGAAATAATATATTTTCTTGTAAAACATACTCCAAAAATGTTTTTACAACTTTGAAAAACTAATTTATATATAATTTTATAATAATTATGTAATTTTATAACTTATTTCTAATATATATCTCTGTAGCATCTTAGGTATTTGCAATAGTCATCTACAAAATACTGTACAATTGTGGCATACAAAGCAACATTTATTGAATTCCCCTTTGGCCCACATAGTTTTAGTAAAGGGTTTTTGTTTGCCAAAAACCTAATTTTGTTTTTTGTTGTTGTTGTTCTCTCTGACCTTTAACAGGCTGCTGTCCCTTTAAGACATCCGTGTAAATGCCCTCTTCACATGTGGAACTGGATATATTGCTGTGCTGCTCCAGCACACAAGCTGTTTGCTGTCGGGTCCAGTATAGCTTTTAACCGCCTTATCCTTCAAGGATAGTTTGATTCTTAATGATATGACCCCTTTAGCACTAAATGTGCTGAGTAATTTTCCACAAACTGTGGCTGTTCAAATTACCACACACACACAAAAACAATAAATAAAAAATAAAAAACAGAATGTGGACTGAATTAGAACCAGCTGAATTAAAAGTGCTAATTGCACTACGGAATGAAGGTTATTGAGATCAGAATACAAAAGGGCTGTAACCTTTGTCATGCAGATGACTTTAATCACAGGGCTTGTACAAAAACAATATGTCATTATTAATAATTGCAGAGAAGAGAAATGTTATGTTGCTGGTACATACGTAGACATCTCTCATGGCATTCTTTTATGGTCTTGAAGTTGTTGCCATTCCCAAAGCAGCCACCATAAAAGAATCGCTTGCATTCCTGGCTCTTGTAATCAAAAAAATAACGAGGCACCAGTCCTCGACACGGTCCCGGCTCATCCTCCAGATGGCATGGACTCTTATCCTCTAAAAGGAAAAAGATGGGGCAGACAATAAATCATGTAATTCTTTATTTAAAGCTTATTTTTCATCAACTTTAGACATGAACATAAATTAAAGTGTTAGAAGTGATTTTTTTCCCCATGCTTTGAAATATCATATATAGGGTAGTGGTGAGAGGGTGGGTGGGCTTTTACACCACACTTAGGGTAAAAGGCTCACCAGCATGGGGAAAAAGGCAATTTTCAGCAAAGTATCCTTTTTTTGGGGTGAACTATTACTTTAATTTTACAGCTCAGGAAAACAACTTGCAGAACTTTTTTGTACACCATTTTTATGCATGAATTACATAATGAGAACACAGGTAACATCTGCACATATTAATACAGATATTAAGTGTTTCATGATTAAACTAGACAAATATGGGAATTGAATTCTAAAGCAGTGGCTTTCAGCAGAACCTTAACAAACACCCTGGCCATAAGCCACAGATAGGCTGGAGTGACTGATATATTCTAGCTCCATCTATAGCACATACCCTGTTGATAAATTAATGGCTGGGTTCCAAAATTCCACAGATTTTTAAAAATCACTTAATTTCCTGCCACGTTTTTGCCCTGTAATGCAGAATTTATTTATGGCCATTGCTAATTAAAATATTTCACTTAAGTGGTCATTCATCGTGGAGAAAGACAGCTTTAATCCCATCAGCTAGGAGAAATCATCAGGGTATTTTGTTTTTCTCTCTTCTTTCGGATAAATCGGATTTAGAAGGAACGATGAATTGCACTAACCTGATCATAAATGTCACAAAGTGACCATACAGATTAAAGCCGGTTGCTGGTTTTGGATATAATTCAATGTTAATTGCAGTCTTACTTACTGATTGAAAGCTATTAAAATGTGATTATGGTCAGGGCAAAAGCTCTGAGTAAGTGCAAAATAAAACTGCTTTTGGTCCATCCATACAATGAAAGTCAATAGGGTCAAAATCAACATTGAAGCTCACCAACTTTCATTATTTATTTACATAACAGCATATTTTTTCTTCTTCTTCAAAATAGCTAAAAATAAATAAAATGGCATAAAGGTGTAGTTTACCCTAAAATAAAATTTAAGATAACACTGTCAGATTTTATTTGCTTTACTGTGTTGCCAAAAAGTGGTTTACCACAGTCATTCAAAAAATTTAATTTCCATACTTTGCTATACAAATGAAGTGGGAGAATTCATCAGGATGCAGCTAAACTCACTACATTAGATACTGTGTTCTGATACTCTATGCCCCAGACAGTTGTCCTGACCGAGAGCAGTAGGCGAATGCTAATTAAGCTTTGCAAATGACCACTCACATACAGCATTGATCAAAAGTTCACATTCACAAGGACACTTAATAAACAGAATTAAATTAACTGAATTGAATGGTACAAATGAATTATGCAGTTTTATATGGTCATAGTTAATATACGTCTACTTCTAGCAGAAGTGTAGATGGGATGCATCTAAAACTGAATGAATAATTCAAAACTGCTGTTCCCCTGAACAACCTCTTGGGTGCTTTTTAGGAAAGGAGATTGTCTTGATGCCAGACTAGTATCTGTCATTGCATGTCTCATTTACTCACAAGGACAGGACTTATGCATAATATGTTTAACTGAGTGCTCATTTAAAAAGATGGCAGCAAGGCAGGTACTTTCAAGTAGGTTCTGCGCTAGCTGAGCAACTCCCATTGAAATGAATGTAAATGCTATATGGATAACTCAAGACATAAAAGACCTCATTGGCTCAAACAAACAAACTGCAATTCCATCTATTGCCACTTGAGTCACAAAAAGTACACATATCACCTTTAAAATTTAAAACAAAATAGCTGTAAATAAACTGGATCCGTTTTCTAGGGAAAAAATTTAGAAAATGATCTTTCTCTCCCAGTTTCTCTGTCTCACTTCACATACAAACACAAAAACATACCACTTTTTGAAGTGCACTGATGATTTGATTCACTAGATGGAGACATTTATCATTCATTTCTCACATTGGTTTATTATTTGATGTTTGTTCCATATACTCAGTGATTCCATTGGATCTGAATTTTAAGTGCTTAAATGCAAACAGTGAGAGCTTGTTTAATTGTTGCCTTTTCATTTAGAAGATGCTTTTATCCAAAGTGACTTACAAATTAGGAACATTATAAGCAAGAGCCAAAAATACTCACAGTACCGCAATGCAGTTACAGTGCAGAGAAAAAAGAGAGGAAGAGCAGATTTTTTATATATATGGAGGGTTATGCTTTATAAAGAGGTCTGTCATGAAGGTTGTAATTGGCATCTATGGTTCATGAAGAACCTTAACCATGCACTCTTAAAAAAAGAGTGGCATTGGCATTGATGGTTCTATGAAGAACCTTTGACATCCACTAAACCTTTCCACAAAAGGTCCTAAACAGTGGGAAAGGGTTTTTTAGATTATAAATGTAGATTATAAATGTTCTTCACACTAAGAAAAAAATGGTTCTTTTCAGAACTGATCACTGAGAGGTTCTTTGGGGAACCCAAAACGGTTCTTCCATAGCACTGCTGGAGGCATAAACATCTAAGTGTTGACCAAGATGAGTGTGACATAAACCCTCTTTGATTCATTGAAGACCAGATGCTATGCCGTTAGGTTTAAAGGGTTAAATGTTTCCTCTATTACTAAAAAAAGCAAGTTTGGTGGCTGCAGAAATTAGAAACTGACTTGGCAGAGCTGAAAATAATCAGGGGCATGTGGTGAAGAGTGCAGAAGAAATGAATCCAAGCACAGCAGTCAATTTCCTCTTCTGCCTCCATGGGGGAACTTTGGCAATACTTCGCAGGCATTTACGAGAGCTCATGTCCTTGGAGGTGTTTGTCCAAATGAGTGGCAAAGTTTCTGTTTTCACAATGACCCCCCACTGGAAAGCGTAATGAGATATGACTCACCCAACCAACCAAATGCTGTAAATAATCCAATGTGGCCTGACTTTACTGTGAACTGCACATTTGTCCTCGTTTTAACAAGAACAGGACCAAGAGTTCCTTATTATTCTTGCAGAAATAATCAGATTGCCTAAATGGTATCTTTCATCTCTCTCATCTCAGCCTTGGCTTGTTGCCATGAATTTGACTCTGTCCTCGAGTAATTTCCATTTCTGCCTTTTTATACTAATTTAATGCCAATATTGAAGATGAAACTATTTAATATTTGGATTGTTTTCTTTTCCTTGCATTAGAATTATTGTATTCATCAAAGTTTTCTAAACAAAACAACTGCACTTCTGATCTTGGCCCTGTGTTTTTTAAAGTATCTGTCATGCCCTCTACAAAGTAATATAGTGTAGGTTATAATTATGACACTTACTGAGTCTAAACTGATCCATAATTGCAATACCACACCAATGCGTTACATTATTGTTTTTTTATGGGCTGTTAATGAGTTGTTGGGAACAACTCCCTCATGGTGAACTCTTCACTCTTCCCATAAAAGTATATGGTGGAATGTGTGTTATTTCTATGGTTATAAAACAAAAGGTAGTTTTGGATACTGATTGGTCAATACAACATTTCAGCCGTTGTAAAGTACAGATATGACGTACAACACCCATATCACTGTGCTGCACCTATAGACTAATGTGCTGTTATTGTTTACATGTCAGTGAGTACAGTAGTGGGGGGGGGGAACAAAAACATTCTGAAAGTATTTTCACTCAAGTAGTTACGCTGATAGCAAAAAAAGGATTAAATTAGACAATAAAATTATTTTACAAGTTTGTACACACACTGTATTGTTGCATATATATATATATATATATATATATATATATGTCAAAGAAACCTGGGCTTCCATACCACCTTAGTAGTGCCACAAACTGATCACCTCCATGCCGCGCCGAATTGAGGCAGTAATTAAAGTAAAAGGAGCCCCTACCAAGTATTGAGTATATCCTACCAAGTATTGAGTACTTTCCAGAAGGCCAACAATTCACTAAAAAAAAGTTTTTTATTGGTCTTATGAAGTATTCTAATTTGTTGAGATAGTGAATTGGTGGGTTTTTGTTAAATGTGAGCCAAAATCATCACAATTAAAAGAACCAAAGACTTAAACTACTTCAGTCTGTGTGCATTGAATTTATTTAATACACGAGTTTCACAATTTGAGTTGAATTACTGAAATAAATGAACTTTTCTACGACATTCTAATTTATTGAGATGCACCTGTATATAAATGAAATATTTTGAATTAGCATTTATTGTTTAACTTTAAGTTTTAATTTTAGTAAACATTTTACTATTTTTTTATAATTTAATCTATTTCAATTACTAGAAAATATTTTTAAAAGTTTCAGTTTTAGTTAACAATAACAACACTGTTGGAAAAATGCAAAAGAGAAGCACTTTCAATAGTATTTTCAGACTTTTGGTACTCATTGTAGATGTACTTAATGAATTTCCTTATTAAAATAAACCATTTCCCTAATATTTTAGTTATGTAGTGGGTGTTTCATAAAAGCAATAAAGCCCGCAATATTATGAGTAAATACACTGCTGTACATTGAGTCTAAAAACGCTCCTTAGCGCTGACTCGTTCACAATATAGCACAGTCTATCATAACTTATTGCTTAATACTATATTAGTAATCTTTGCCTTTACTTTACCCACGATAAGCATATGTGGAATTCTGTTTGTAGCAAGGGTGTATGGAATACTGTCATGACACATGAGTCTGGGTCAGGCCATCCAATATACTGAGCGAAAATGAAATTGACTAACACAAATGACACATCCTCATTCTGAAAGATGTGTTGAGTCTAAAGGTTATTTTACACAAGTTCCATCATTTTCTGAAAAAAAAAAACTGTCATATTTGTATTTATTTTTGTTTGTCATAGAATAGCACAAGTCGGGTAAAAATGGCCTTACCTTTCACAAGACACATTTCTTCACACTCCTGCAGGGTCTCAAAATTGTTTGCATTGCCTTGACAGCCTCCGTATTCAAAGAGCTCACAACGACCTGTGTCAATGTCAAAGTAGAACCTGTCCTTTATTGCCTTGCATGGCCCTTCATCTTTCTTCAGGGCGCATGAGTGATGGAATATGTGGAGTTCAGACCTCACTCCATCTGCTGAGGGTAGAAGGAAGCCAGAAGTTATCATTTGCTCCGGACATAATTCACAAAACTCTGCGTGGTAAATTTAAGCCAAATATAAGCTCTCACCTAAGGCGTTGTAGGGAGTGAAAGAGTTTTCTGGCACTGGAAACTTACTATACACCTATTTTTAATAGAGCTAGAGCATTTGCTCAAAGAGATCTCATTGACATGACAGTCTGTAGATCTGAGGGATCTGACAGCTTTGCCCTTGGTGTTTAACGCTTTGTTAAATCAGGATGAACCTCCTACACTCTTCCACTCTCAAGCCAACGAGGAAGATAAAGCACTCTTTCTTGACTATATATATTTGGATGGTTTAAATCAAAAAGATTTTTATTTTCCCCAGGAATAGGTTCTTAATCCCTACCTAGAACCAACCGTATTAGTTTGTTCTAAGAGCATGCGGTGAAGTGAACTCTGCGGTCCTTCCTGTTCACACAACAAGGACTGAATCCAAAGTGCCACAAACTAAAGTAACAGATGGTCTTGGACTTGAGTGACAACATCCTGCGGGCAGTTGGATCACTTATCCTGTCACATCCTGATGTTCATCTCCCCACTCCTCTCCACTCTAAAATACTCTCTCAACACTGCCCTCGGGTTGGAGAGAGTTCTTCTTAGGTATTCCACATGCTCTGGATAAAATTCTTATCGGCACAAAAGCAGGAAACACACACACTATAGCATACATCTTGATGGGTTTGCCATTGTAGAAAAATAGCAAAAACATCAATATTCATATATGCATCATTATTAAATGCAGACAGAGAAGAATGCTCTTAGAGGCTACATTTATTTGATAAAAAAAAGTAATATTGTGAAATGTTACAATTTAAAATTACTGTGTTGTATTTTAATATATTTTACATTATATAATTGATTAATTACTGCAGTTTTTATTATTATGATTATTTTTTGCTCTATAAAATAATTACTCCAGTCACATGACCCTTCAAAAATCATTCTAATATACTGATTTGGTGCTCAAAAACATCTCTTATAATTATCAATGTTGAAAACAGTTGTGCTGCTTAATATTTTTGTGAAAACCTTGATACATTTTTACAGCACTTTTTGAGGAATAGGAAGTTCAAAGGGACAGCATTTATTTGAAACAGAAATCCTTTGTAACATAATAATAATATTATGTCTTTACTGTCACATTTGACCAAATTAATGTGTCACTGCTGAATAAAAGTATTAATTTTAAAAACTTCATCTTCAAATTTATGAACAGTAATGTAATTTGAACTTTTTACAGAATTTGAAGCTTTGGTAAATCCGAGCAGTTGACACTGTTGAGAACTCTTTTGTAACTCTCACATGTGAGATTTGCTCAAGAGAGAAAAAAAACATATATATACAGAATATATATATAATATAATATATATATATATATATATATATATATATATTAAAACAGTTATTTTAAAATGTAATAATATTTTAAAATATTACTGTTTTTACTGTATTGATTGAAGTAAATGCAGCCTTGACTTTAAAAAACTTCCAAAAATCTTACACCAAAAGTCCTGCACATTGTCATATGTAGCTTGAGAAACTAGAGCCTTCATCAGGATATCTTTTATTATTTTCTATCTAATCATAAGCCATTACGAAGAAAAAAAAAAATCTGAACAAGATAATTACATTAATTATGAGAGCCAAAATTGCAGAGGACTTGTTTTCTTCATTTCCATGGACACAGCAGCTTTTTTAAGATGAGTTCTTGTGTACGTCCTTTATAATTTAATTGTTTTTAAATGTAACATTTAAACATGCAATTTCAGTGTATTATAACACAGACAATACCTGGACCTGCAGACTTCCCCCAAAAAACTTATGTCTATAATGAAAAAAAACTGATCTGGCTGTTAAAATTTCAACTGCCAGATGCTTTTTTACCCCAGCATGAATTTTCTGTTATGCTTGGATTCACCTCAATTTGGATCAGAACAACCCAAAACTGGTGCTTTGCCAAACTCATTGCCAATGCTGAGCTCGGGCAGGCTGCCCCATGTTGAGACTCAGCCCTTGCTTGTTTTATACCCGTCATGAAAGAGAGGTGTTGATTTTATCACAAGGTGGAATTTAGCACATCGGTCAGTTTTTGAAAAGAGTAAAACATTCAGGAACTCTCAGTCTCATGGAAAGCACAATGCATGTAAATATCTGTTTACAGGTGTCAACATGTCATGTTTGCTCAAGGTTTGCTGTTAGTTGCCTGAGCAACAACGCAATGATTAATAACACCGTCAGCAGCAGATCTGACTGTAACACTATAACACTATAAGGATAAGTGGCAAAGTATTTGTCATTTGTAAATTAGTAACCAGTGAGTCAGTTTTAACATCAGCCCCTTTTCATTATGTGGCATATTAAGAACTGTCCATTTGTTATATTACTGATAAAGATACAGATGTGTGTATTAGAGAGCAGTCACAGAAACAGAGGTTTTATAGTATGAGGGTATGATTCTACCAGTCTGAGTCATACTTCAGATTATCAGATTTATTCAGCAGATACAGTCCAAAGGGTACAGTCCATGGGCACAGTCACTATATATATATATATATATATATATATGTGTGTGTGTGTGTGTGTGTGTGTGCTGTTGCTGCCAGATCTCGATTGCCAAAAACCACACTTTGATGCAAAGCTAACTTGACTAAATCAAATAAAATAACATTGTAATTTTTACAGCACTTTTTGAGGAATAGGAAGTTCAAAGGGACAGCATTTATTTGAAACAGAAATCCTTTGTAACATAATAATAATATTATGTCTTTACTGTCACATTTGACCAAATTAATGTGTCACTGCTGAATAAAAGTATTAATTTTAAAAACTTCATCTTCAAATTTATGAACAGTAATGTAATTTGAACTTTTTACAGAATTTGAAGCTTTGGTAAATCCGAGCAGTTGACACTGTTGAGAACTCTTTTGTAAGCTAACTTGACTAAATCAAATAAAATAACATTGTAATGGTATATTATCAAGCTTTCTCAAACAAAGCAAATTTTAAAAGTCCACTGAAGCATATCTTCTTACATTTTTGCCATAGACAATATATTTTGAAGATACAGGTTGTTTTTCGGCAACATGCTTGAGTAAACTAATAAAGTGAAGTGATTAAACAAAATGTTTATTAAAATGTTTTAAATGTCTGAGGATTTTAATGTTCTCTTTCTTTTCCTTATGCCTGCATCACTTGCAGTTAAAATTTTAACTCTACTCATTTTTATTGTTGTCTGTTTGTTGTTGCAGCATTTTACATAGCACTATTTTAAATATATATTTATTTTTGGTATTTTACATGGTCTGTTGTTGGAGTAGCATCACCCAGCTGAGATATTTTAATCCTAATTTTAGCACTAAGCATACCTGGTTAAACAAATTATTTCCCTTATCGTCAAGTTTACTGAACTGAACTGAATCATTTATTTGATGACTTGTAAGGCAAGGGAGTTGTCTGGTTATCTTGAAAAATTTTACAACATGGCCTTACACAACAACTGCAAAAATAATGACTGTGTCAAACTGGTTTCCAGAAGACTCTTTTTGTGCGCCACTGTGCTGGGCTAGTAGGGAAAGTGCCACAGAGCTACAATGTTTATGCTTTTTTGAACGGTTTAAGAATAAACCTACAGTTATTTACTTTTATACTTTTCTCTGCATATTGAACTGGGACTGGAGAAAGTATTTTAACAGAAAAAAAGCAGAAAACTATATGGGTGTTATAATATGTTTTGTTTATCTTATACATTGAATTGTATAGTAGCAAGGTTTTGATTTATTTTGCTTTACTATTGTCAGGCATCCAGGCTTGATCCACGTCTAGGCCTGTTTGCCAGTGGAACAGCAGATCGTCTTTGTCTACAAAATCCTCCACTCCTGCAATGGCTGCAACACCTTAAAATCCCAGATAGGTCAGAACTTGTTTATTCTACTACCGTTCACAGATAACAACAATGGGTTACATAGTAAACCTCGTCGTATCGGATCCCATGAAACTCTTGCGGGACCGAAAATCCTCCTCTCTGTCACCTGGTGCAATTATCTGAGGTCTGCAGTGCAGGGCTCACTGAAGCAAATAATCCCATACACCCCAATTAATCATTGTCAGGTCTGCAACTGACTGCATGAGAGGATTCTGACTCTTTAAATGACTGTGTGGCCACCTGTCTGTTCAACCATATGGGACACCTGATGTGGACATACGTTAAACATAAGGCTTAGCGGGGAAAAATATATCCCACAGCATTGCATGGTATATGCTATATAGCAAGTTAACCGCCTAAGGTGAAAGGCTTAACTGGTTGCTCTCTATCTCTCCCTGCAATAAGTCTGTACACAATACAGAAAGTTGGAAATTGAGAGCACTGATCTCCCATTAACCACCATGAGGCAGGAATACATATATACATAATTCAACATGGCTGACAAAACCAAGCACCAAGGACCTCTGGAATATCTACCTCTACCTTTTGAAGGAAACGTACAGTAGACTGGTAAAAAATGTAAAAAAAAAATAATAGAATGCGAGTATAGAATGTCAGGTAATATCTTTGTTATATTTATTTACTTCTGTAAATTGGTATTCAAGTGTAACGTACATTAAAGAGTATTGAATTTCCACTCACCACTGTATATATTTAAAATAAACAGGGTAATCAACAGGGTAATCACACAATCTATAAATAATTTCCTCAAGAGAAATTTCTAGGAAGCAGGGGATACAGCAATTTTTCTTTACTACAGGCCTAGCTATACATAAAATAAGTGCAGGCAGTAGAAAACCAATCCACTATTACATTATATATGTAAGTAATGGTATCCCCACATAATCTATGAAAAATGTTCTGTTAACCTCTGCTAGACTAAAAACAGTCCAAAAAACCCTAACGTAATAAAAAATATTTCCCAACGCACACTATTGGGAATATCATCAATCATGGTACAAAAGCTTTC